GGCAACGACTCAAGCCGTTTGATGCGGTCGGTCAACTGTGGGGAGGGAGTTCGAAGCGGCGTCAGCATGGTGTCCAGCACCTTATGCCAATCCAAGCCTACCTCAAACATCCCCGCCTGAGCGGGTATTAGCGTTAGTGGATCAGCAAGTTGCTGGCCGAAAATACGGGGCAACCTATTAGGCTGATATCTAGTAGTGGGCTCGATACTCCTAGGAGTGTCAGGGGGAGGACTACCGGAGGGAGGTCTATGTGGTGCTAGTCTGCCGCCGGAAGATGGCTGCTCCTCCTGAGTATTGGCGCTTGAAGCAGCCTTCGAGGCCCACCACGAGTTGTCTAGAACTGACGATGCGGCACCTGCAGGCTTCCCATATGGGTATGGGAACGGATTAGGAGGCGGCGGCTTCCTCTTTCGTGTTAATGGCCTACAAGGAGCCGCTTCAGAGTGCCTATTTGGATCCCGCTCCCAAGAGGCTGAGCGACCAGTTAGTGAGCTTGGTGGGGTTTTGTATGGAGGCCCCGGCGCTCCGTGTTGACTGGGTGGTCGTTACAGGGGATTTAGGTCTTGGGGATTGCTTAGGGGATCTTGGAGTCGAAGGCTCGCCTTGGTCGTCATCACCGTCCCCGGGAGGGGTTGGATCAGACGGGGCTGCAGCCACGAGTCCCGCGCCAACTGGCTGTTTAGTGCCAGCCGGCAGCGGCTTGCCTGTGTTGTCGGTATCCACGTGCACCGGTCTGTTGCGTTCCTCGAATGCCTCAAAAGCACGGCGCTTCGCCTCAGCTGACAACTGTCTGACTGCGGGCGGCGGAGGCTTGGTCTTTGTGGGTGGAGATCGGGAACGAACAGGGCGCGCCTTGGGCGGCGGCTTTGTTGGTGGTGGTGAGGCAGACGACGAATCAACTGACACTGCGGGTGGCGGTGCACTGTGAGACCTCGGTGCTTCGACAACAGGGGACTTTGCACTCGAAGGGACTGCATTCCGCGCCGAAGGCAGCGGCTGGGGCGAGACCACTGGTACAAACACCGGTTCGGTGGCCGACGACAGTTGAGGCTCATCAATTGGGACTCTAGGCTGTGCGGCGTTGGACGCACCTTTCGACTTGCTCTTTGGAACCACGATGACCTGCCGAACATGAGGGGGAGTCACTCCCGCAGGACGTCTGCGTTCACGACGACGCGAACACGTTTAGACGCCGGCCCAGCGAGCTTTGGCTTTGGATGTTGGGAAGGGTGACCGGATGGGTGCTCTCCTTCTAACCAGTCGAGCCAGCCAGCCTCTTCGGTCCGGCCTTCTCGGTTCCGTATGCGACGAGTGCGTGCCTCGGGGTCCGAATTGTCGGAGTCCTCAGCATCGAGCTCGTATAGCGCGGCACCAGGGTCCACCTGCATAAATGAAGACGATGGCAATAGTTGGTCGCCTTCAGTCACAGGCACGTTAGACCAATCCAGGTCATAGACACGGTCTCGGGCTTCTTCTAGAGGCACGGTGGGTTCGTTCACTCGATCCCGTTGGGATCTCCTGAGGCGAAAGGACGTCAGGTGCCTGTGAATGAATGCTCCGGGGCCCGGGGTCATAATGACCGGACGGGTTGGCTCCGCGCCTGAGGCAGCGGCTTCAACACCTGATGGTTCCCCTGGTGGGGTTTGGTCTTCTTCGTGAGCGGGCGCCCCGTCTGGGGCGCCCCCTGCTCTTCTGTCTCCTCCTCCTCAACCTCGACTTCCTCCTCCTCGACTGAGTACTCCGGATTTGCCTGCGACAACGCTTGCCCGAGTGCACCTCGAAGAGCTGCTCCGCCCAGCGCACTGGACGCGCGGGCTTTGGCATGAGCCAGCTCGTTATTTAGTGGTTCGAGGTTATCGTCCTGCTCATGCATGACTGACAGGTCAAGACGATCGGAATCAGGCTTAGTCGGCTTTACCGTGTAGACGGGTCGAAGGACAGGCACTTGCTCGGGATTGCTCTTGGTCCAGGGCGGAATCATTTCCTTCAATGGACCTCGATAGCTGGGTTCGTGAGGACCGGGTGCATCAAGTGGCTCGTAGTCACCATAAGCATGGGATGGTGCCGGTTCGCACGGAATAGTATATGGTGGACAATCGTCTGTGGCAAGACCTTGGGGAGGGAGTGGCGCCGGCCCTTTAGGAGGGGGGGGCAGACGAATGGGCAGCGATGGCTTTGGCACTTCAACAAATGCACTTCCGGCCTTAACCTGCACAGTCTCGGCACTCTTAGGGATTAACACTGGTGGTACCTTAGGAGGCGGACTATGGGGAATGGGCTTAGTGGAAGACTGCGAAGTGCCCGCGCCAGAGGCTGCGGCTTGCTTAGACTTGGGACCGGCTGCCTCGGACTTCTGCTTCGGCTCAACCCCTTTGGACGCAGACTTCCCGGCCTTGGCCTTGGCGGCCTTGGCCTCCACCTCAGACCTGGGTGTGAGGACGACTGCAGGCTGACCACGGTCCAACGAAGGGCGCCAGCTGTCGATGCACTGGCCGCTGCTGATGAGGCAGTGGCAACCTTCGGCGCAGCCGATCGAGATCGATCAGTGCGAGGTGGGGCAGTGGATGACGATGCCTTCGAGTCTGAGTTAAACACCGTTCGGGGTGGAGCAACCTTGGTTTCGGCCGATCGCACATGGCGAAGGGGAACGAAGGGATGATCCGATGTCCAGTATCCTCTGGGTAGCCGATATTGGGTTGCGGCATGCCCTGCAATAGCGTGGGATTGATGGAGTACAGAACTGCCACAATTCTGGTAGTATAGTAGCCCATCGGAGGATGGTATCTACTGGTAGCAGCTCTCCGTCCGTGTCAAAAGCCCACCGGTCGGAGTGTCGAAGGACATACCCGAACCACTCCGGATATTGCTTGCGGGCAATATGTGGTGGGATGTGGGGGAGATTAAATTGGCGGCCGAACCGCGCGTAAGTGGAGTTACCGAGCTGAGCTCCGATGTACTCGCACGTGGTCCCGTAAGCGCGGTTCTCTCGGCCGGAAACGTGCTTCGCACCGGCTTTGCAGCCCCGCCTTCGGGCGCGATCTCTCTCTCCCTGTCCCGCGCCTGAAGCAGCGGCTTCACCACCCCCACTCCCCGGCTGGGGTCCCTCACTCTCGACGTTAGCGGGCTCTGGCTCAACGCCAGCCTCCGCGGCGGATGCCTCCAGGGCGGCCTCAAGGTCGTACTGTTCCTGGATCCGTCGAGCAATCTCTTCGCTCTCATCGTCTTCGACGGTTGACTCGTCGTCGTCTCCAAGAGGGTCAAAAAGAAAATTATTAGTGGGGATAGGCGGACTATGTGGGGTTGACGAAGCTTGTGCAATCAAGCGTTCAGGCGGCACGAACTCTTCAGGCTCCTCCTCTGCAGGGATCGGTTGATCTTGCTCTACAGGGTTAGGGGAGTTCATGCTAGTCGAGACCTCCTCCTCCTCCGGGGCCGGCGGGCCTTGGTCGGTGGAGTCGGTAGGTGGGGTATTATCTAACGAAGGCTGAACCACAGGGGTCGGCTGACCTTGGGCTGTGGCAGCGGCTTGGTTAGTAGTCTCAATTGCAGGGTCAACGGGTACCGCGCTTGAAGCAGCGGTACCCTCGCCTGGGGCGTCCGGTTCCTCCCAATCAACGTCGGGACCAGCGAATGGCTCTTCAGGTTCGATTCCACGATCCTCAATGGTGAAGACAAACATTGGGAACAACGTGGGGCCAGAATCGGCCTCGGAGGCTGCACTGCCACGCTTCGAACTATCCGAGCCCGCGCCGGCGGCAGCGGTTGGTGGGTCTTGGCTGTCTATGTACAGGTTCAATGCATCCACGGCTTGGGAACCTAACTCCGACAGGGACGTCACCTGCTGCTCTTCCTCTACACCTACTCCTAGCGAGTCCGCGCTTACAGCAGCGGCTTGCGCTGCCTCGGACCTTTGGCTAGAGGGGGCCACACTTAGTCCTGTCGAATCCGCGCCAGAGGCAGCGGCTGGCGCTGCCTTGCTTGAGGGGACCGTGGGGGTGTAACCCTAGGCATGGGTACTATTGGAGGCGGACTATTAGAGCTCGTAGGTTGGTTAGACCTACGGCTGATAACCAATGAAAGTGACAAGGGTTCAGGTATATCAACAGGGAACAGCCACCACAACCTACGGAGTGGGAGGTGTTCAGAGAGATAACTAATTGTATCAAGAACCCTAGCACGGGATGGGACACGACAAGGGACCCCGGAGGGCTTGGTCCCCGTTGTGTAATATGGGATGTGAGTTAGGGGAGGGAGCACCTACGGCAACCGACCCGAAACCAAACACAACCCGAAATGCACGAAGGCACGGAAGCGAACGAATGCAGCGACACGACGATCGAACCGACCGGCGTGCACGAGTGCTGAAACAAGCACGGGCGCACTTGTTTCTTGAGCCATGATGGGCGTCGGTGTGAAACAATGTCTTGACGACCGACGTCCGAAAACACTGTACATGAACACATCATGACATGGCAAGTTCGGGGTTACCACAGTGCGTGATATTTTGACTAAGATGCCTAGAAAAATTGCCTCAGCAATCTTCAATCCAGGTCCCAAAAAAGTTTGTTGTTTGGGCCTGGATTGAAGATTGAAGATGCCTAGAAAAAGTTTTCTCGGCAATCTTCAATCCAGGTCCCCCCAAAAAAAGCTAGTTACTGTTTGTGTTAGTTAAGAAAAAAACTAGGATTTTTGGACCTGGATTGAAGATTGCCGAGAACAGTTTTTCTAGGCATCTTCAATCTTCAATTCAGTCCAATAAAACTAGTGTTTTAGAAAATAATTAGTTATGTGTTGTCTAAACTTTGCATTATATATATATATATGGTCCCCCGCCGCCCCGCACATCTGACACTAATGTATTGAAGACACATGAACACGGTAGATTTGTGGGTGGTGGGGGGGCACCATATATATAGATATATAGTGGACCTGTGGATTGGATGATGCCCTGCTCGCTCACAACAGCTCCGGATCCCCAGATCCCTTTTTGGCCAGGTCACATGACTGCCAGTAGTGGCCTGGGTGTCTGGAAGGTGAATGTGAATGTGGACGTTAAACATCTAAGGACTGTGCCAAATAGCTCCCCAACAAGGGATGCCAAGGAATTTCATCTCTGAAAGGCACGCTGCCACGAAGCAATGGCCTCAGAAATTCACACATAACTGGCCAGTGGTTGCACTGTGAGCTGCATATGATGTTTGAAGGTCATGAAGTATGGAAACAGGAGTTGATTTGTTAATGTGTTTTGGTGCTTTTTTGGCCCTCTCCCCCTCCCTACTTAATCAAGTAGAGACTACCTACTTATATAATTAGATAAGGAATTGAGGTAGCTAGTAGCTACTAAGACGCTACTTAATATGGACGCAGGATAGCTCACGCTATTCATGTGGTTTCTAGATTTTTGGGGAAACTTAAGTATAGAACGTAGCTTCTCTGCTCGCCATAGAAGTCCTGCTCTTTTGATAAGGATAATTTCAAGAACACTGATTGTCCGCAAAACTAGGAACCACTTTTCAAGTTCTGCTACATAAATATACTTTTGCCTGTGCGACCTTTGGAATAGTTTCGAGAAGGGACCTGCAACCTGTTGAGAGAAATCTGAGCCAAGCGGCAGTTGTTCAAGGGGCTACAACTCTGATTCCGATACTTGGAAATGGCCCGTTCGATGCCCTCGTCGCAGGTTCCCCTGCGATGCACACGGCAACGGTTGCTTCCATCAAGTACACCAGTACAGGAAAGCTCAAAAATCCGCATGACCGACATCTTGAAAAAATTTTGCAACGCCTTCCAATGAGTTTTGGGCTCAAAGGGATGTAGCGGACAATCGGGCCAAAGGCCAACCTGAGGCGACCGAGGCGAACCAGTCGACCGACAGCCCGACCGGGCCAAGGAGGCGACTGACCATGGTTTCTTTCAGCACCAAGGCCAACCAACTCCCAGACCTGGAAGGCACGGGAGCAGCTACGAACGAAGCTACATTCGGGGCTCCTGGCCTTACTTCTAGGAGCGATTGGACGCTACTAGTAACAAGGGCGTCGCTAGTAGTAGCAAGGGGCATTGCGGCATGACTAGTAGTAGCAAAGGGCATTGCTAGTAGCACAACGTTGAAACTCTCCCAGTCTAAAAGATTCACAGCTTGGGATCTCTGCAGTTCCACATGAAGTGCCTAAAGCTTAGTGATCACGCAGCCCTTCACATTTAGGATCGTTTACACACGTTTAGGCATTTATTCCAAGGAGACTTGCGCAATGCAAGTTGTTTTGAGTGATAGCTATGCTGTCTCGCCTCACCCCTTGAGTTGGTGATTCCCATGTGCCCAACCAGTCCTGGCACAATATGCCTCAAGCAGCCCCGTAAGAAGCCCCAAGCCCTAGCAACCATGTTCATGTTGATTGCACAGAAAGAAACGTTTGTACCACCAAAGTCCTCCGGTGCACTGAGTGCAGCCGGCAATCCAGCACCAAACCTTGGTGCAAATGCCAGACATATGCGATTGTAAAGGTCGCAGGATTTCTTTGGAAGTATTCCTTCATTATGAACAGCCTTGTGCTTCTAGGAAGTGTCCTACCTCTTCAATGTACGTGTTTGGAAACAGTGAACATTTGAACGACTGATTCTCCTCCGACAAAGGCTTGGACAATGCATTCAGGAAAAATGCCGTTTGCCACGTCAAACTTGCCATTGGCTGAACACCTGTCGAGAGGGCGTCTAAAACTGCCACATCTGTGCTGTCTGGTTCAGCTTGGAGGATGTTTCAAGTCCCCGAGATTGCTGGAAAAAGGAAAAGGATTGAAAAAGAATGGAAAAGGGAAATACAGAATACACTAAAATCACTAAAAGTGGTGAAGGCACCAACTTCAGTACCAAGTTCAGTCGCCATATCAAAGTTCTTTATACTCAAGCAGACACAGCTTGAGACTCTGGCGGCGCGTCCATGTCGCACATTGCTGGTGGCACTTCCTCTCAAGCCACCCAAAACTCAGCAAGCTTCAGGAATATGGTGCGTCCATCTCGAATAAGAAATCCTACCGAACTAGGCAGCATGGCAAGCCAGCTGCAAAAAAGAGAAGGCAACCAAAGTGTTTTTCCCGCATGAATAGGTGCCAGGTAAGAGCCATCGGCAACGGCAGCAAGGAAGATTGGGGTGCAATTGCGGGGCAATCGAAAATGCTTTTGTCCAGGCACAAATACTTACTACTAGTAACAAGAAGCTACTAGTAGCTCCTGGCATTACTACTAGTAACAAGGACGCCACTAGCAACAAGGGCATCGCTACTAGTAGCAAAGGGCATTGCTAGTAGCAAGGACGCTACTAGTTACTAGCAAGGCACCTTACTACGCAAAAAGAAGCCCTGGCCCAGTCCTCATCGCTTTCTCGCCCAACAGCTTGCATGGTGAGGCTAAGGGTTAAGCAAGGCTTTTAGGTTTAAGCGTGTTGCAAAAAAAATGAATCTGGGTAAACCTATTGAAGTCGCTGAATCATATAGATAAATCTGTCGATCTGTGCATTTACAAAGTGCCAACTGAATGTACTGCTCTAGCCTCCTGTGAGTGTGCCTGGCTCCTTTCATGATGTCACTATATAGTTTTTTGCAAAAGGACGAGCCTTCAAAGCGGGCAGATCAGGATGGATAAGTTAAGGTCCAGATTGTTGATAAGAATAGACAACTAATGTAGTCTGTCAATGGCATCTTCACACAAACATAGCACAGCTCTTGCAGATTCCGGGATTCGCGAAGGCCTAGGGCTTCTCTTGCAGGTCGCCGTAGCCGGCGCTCCAATGCCAAGGAAAGGCCTGTCAAGGGAAAATATGGGAACATAGTGAATTGTGGGCTCCAATGACCCGTTTGGATACCCACTTGACATCAACTGACCATGTTAGTAAGGATCTCTTCCTCGGGCTTTGTTTGCATATTTTTGATTGGCTCATGTTGCACGTGTGGGTTCCTCTTGCATGTGTGCACGTGTGGAACCTATGTCGGTGGTCGTCGGCCACGTCCAGCCTGGGTCAGAAATTGGGCCTGTTCGATACCTCCGAAATGCCGTCTGCAGGAATCGAAGTGGGGACGGTCGGGTCGCACTATCATGTATATTTAGCAAGTCTGAACAATTTGTCGGTGAAATGTTCAATGCGGCTATCAATGTCTTTATGTCCAAAACGCTCTTCAAAAAAAACACTCCGAAACCTCAAATCGTCCTCAAAATAAAACCTACCCCGGCATCATGGTCCTTTTTGAGGGGCGAGGCAAAAAGCATAATCTTGGGGGGAGGCAGGGGGTCAATGCTCTCTAGGGGTTCCTGGCATCGCTACTAGGAACAAGGACGCTACCAGGGGCTCCTGACCTTACTACTAGGCTAGGAGCAAGAACGCTACTAGGAGCAAAGGGCATCCCTACTAGGAGCAAGGACGCGACGAACGGGGCTCCTGGCCTTACTATATACTAGGAGCAAGAAGCTATTAGGAACAAGAAGCTACTAGGGGCTCCTGGCATCACTACTAGGAGCGATCGGACGCTACGAACGGGGGAGTCGGGTCACATGTTCCAGAGATCTGCACAGAGCGCCACTCCGCGGGCTTCGTCCAACTGCCGAACCCGCCGCTCCGCGGTCGGGCTTCTCCAAGGGGCCTGAAGTCAGAAATCTGAGGACATCTGAAATTATTCATTTCGAGTGTTAGTATGTTATATATATATAGTTTGTTTTTTGTTATCAGCTTTTTGTGTTTGCGCTTTTGTGGTCAGGGAGTCGCACCAGTGGGCTTGTCGTCTGTTGAAGGGCTCGATATGGCTCAATGTTTGCACATCAAAGGCTCAAGCTTTGGCCCATCTCAGCAGCTCCCGCCTGTGTGAAAGAATCGGAGGCTCGCCGACATCTTAAACTATGTTTCCCAAACGATATGGTTAACGCTGCGTATCAGGACATTTAACAGTGCCTCATCAAGTGTATTCCTTGCCGGTAAGCTGCGGCTGGCGCCCCGCCGGCCTGCCGCGCTCTGAGAGTTCCTCCCACCTCGATGCGAACCCAACGCACCTCGCAGCTGCGGAAGGCAGTCACAGCACCCATTGGATCTGCCTCGAACGAAGGTCGGTGACCAAACGAATCACCGTGTGGGCCGCGAGGCACATCTTCTGAGAGCTGCACATCCTTCGTGACACCACGACACCTGCGCATGATGTGATAAAAACAAAGTGCTGACTGAGCACGGCTTGCCATGCCATCCAAAAGAACGAGCTCGTCACTGACACGCCTCTGCCAGCGGAAATAGCATCCCTGGCCAGACTTGCAGAATAAGGGCATCACGAAGAGAGACAAATTAGCCCAGCTGGAGACCCCAATAGCAAGATACAAACCGGGACAAAAAGAAAAATCTGGAAACAGCTGCTGTTTTCAACACATCGACCATCTCTTCCTTGGACACCATCATCACATAACCAAGACACCATCACAAAATGACAAGGGCACCATCAAAACATGACCGAGACACCGTCACAACATGATTGGGACACCATCACAACATAACCGGGACACCATCACAAG